ATGCTGACAGTGTCGCTGGCCCAAATAGCTTCTCATCTCTATTTTTCCAGCATTGTTGGGATATTATTTAAGAAAATGTTTACATGGCAGTATTGGATTTCTTTGATGGGGGTCATCTTCCACGGGATTTTGCTGCTACTTCGATTATCCTACTCCCTAAAAAGGATGGTGCTTGCAGATGGACTGACTTCAGACCTATCAGCTTATGCACGGTGTTCAATAAGATTATTACAAAGCTTTTGAACACTCGGTTAAGTACTCTGCTACCGCACATTATCTCTCATCCACAGAGTGGTTTCATACCAGGTCGTCTGATTGGAGACAATGTATTACTGGCTCAGGAGCTTCTTTACACTTTGGATGATAGAGTGCGAGGGCGTAACACTATGCTGAAGTTAGACATGGCTAAAGCATATGATCGCATGGACTGGGGTTTCATTTATTCTGTATTGGAGGCTTTTGGATTTGATTAGATCTGGATTGACAGGATTAGACGATGCATTTTGAGGTGCCATTTCTCTGTACTTCTAAATGGTTGTCCATGTGGTTTCTTTACTTCCTCATGAGGACTCAAATAGGGTGATCCTATCTCTCCATCCTTATTCATCATAGCGGTAGACTACTTCTCACGCCTGCTCACTCAGAGGTTTCAGGAGTATCACAGTATGTGCTATCAACACGGAGGTAATACTCTTATTTCCCATCTCTCATTTGCTGATGATATGATCATCTTTGCCAACATCAGAAACAGTCTATCAGGAGGGTCCTAGACTGTTTGTAGCACTACAAAGGGGTTTCTAGCCAGCTGGTCAATAGAGACAAGAGTGGTCTTATACTATCCAGATGGGCATCCACTAGTCAGATCAGACTATTGGAGAATTTAACTGGGTTTAGACATCAGCATCAGCCTTTTACTTACTTGGGAGTCTCACTATTCAAGGGGACTAAGAGGAGCTTTCTTTATGATGACCTTATCTAGAAGGTCTGGGGCAAGATCTCAGGTTGGGCTTCACAATTATTATCACCTGGGGGTCATATTACCTTACTGAGGTCAGTACTCTCCTCCATACCATTGCATCTTCTTCAGATTATGCAACCGCCCAAGGCAGTACGAAAGAAGCTTGTGAGCATTTTTGCCCGATTTCTATGGGATTCTAAGGATCAAGTTCGACACCTACATTGGAGGATTTGGAAGGAGATTTGCCTTCCTACAGATGAGGGGGGCCTCGGCTTCAAGAGATTACAGAAAGTGGTGGACACCTTCTCCATGAAGCTCTGGTAGCTGTTTCAATCTCAGAGGTCACTTTGGGCTCAGTTTTTACTGGGCTAGTATTGTATGGGAACACCCCCTTCACTTGCAGCAGTTCCCAGTTCAGTTTTCCCTTACTTGGAAGAGGATGAAATTAGCTGGACCACAGACAGATCCACACATTGCCTGGAATCTTGGAGCCGACCAGATTTTCTTCTGGCATGATTGTTGGATGGGCGAGACCATGTTGGCATCCCTATTCCCCCATAGACAGCACACATCTATGATGGTGCAGAATTTCTTTGATGACACTAGATGGGATTTTGGACGATTATTACAGACTCTTCCTCCTCAAATGGCGGAACAAATAGGAGTTATACCTTTATGTGCAGATGCCTCGAACCGAATTGTTTGGAGGATTACATCGGATGGTAACTTTACCACCAAATCAGCATGGTAGCTAGTCCATTCGATTTGCTAGTCTCGAGATTCGTATCGATTACTATAGAGCCTTATTTTGCCGACCACTATTTCATTCTTCTATTGGAGACTATGGCAGGATCTCATTCCTATGGATGTGATTATTCAGAGGAGGATTGGATGTCAATTGGCTTCTCGTTGTCAGTGTTGTTCTGAGATTGAGACCATCAATCATATTTTCACAAGTAGCAGAATCTTTGACCAGGTATGGCAGCACTTTGGAAACATCTTTTTGATATCTATGACTTCAGGGGAGGGGTTTCGACAGAGGTTCTAAAGATGGCAGTATTCTGGGCATCATGTTAGTCGTGGGCACATTCGTACTATCATTCCTCTACAGATATTTTGGTTTCTATGGACTGAGAAAAATGACACAAAACATAGGGGTGTTCGTATGGTGGCCAGCCATATTATTTGGAGAGTCTGTCGCATGATCTCTTTTCTTCATATGGGAGGATTGTTCCGAGTTGTACATTAGCGAGGGGATGTGACACTTGCACCCCTTTTTGGCATTTCTATGACCCATCCTATCCCACCACCACCAATTATGGTTGTTTGGCGCACTCCGCCAATAGGATCCTATAAGATCAACACTGACGGATGCGTCAAGGACAGAATTGCGATTGGTGGAGGCACCATTGGGGACCACATAGGATACTGCATCAGGGCATTTTCAACATCGTATGGCACATGTTTGATTTTTGAGGCTGAGCTCAGAGCCATACTAGATGGGATTTTATTGGCCAGAGGACTTGGGTATCAGCTATTTAGATTGAGGTAGATTCAACGGTGGCCATTCACTGCATCACCAAAGGTGGAGGACCATGGACGATTCAGGGTATTCTAAGATAGATCAGAGACTTCATTTGCGACTTCATTTGCTTTAACAGAGACACAGTCTCTCACATCTATAGATAAGGTAACCAGGTTGCAGATTCTTTTGCTTCAGACGGTTGGGATCACCAGCATTACCAAGAATATGGACCACTTGACCTGCCTCGACAGATTAGGGCATTGGTGCAGATCGACAGACATGGATTGCCCAGCTTTAGAGGTTTGTAGTTTAGGCTATCATTATTGCATTTTTCTTGTACAAGGAAGTAGCAATTCCTCATTTACTTTGTTCATTTTTAATTTTTCAATTGTTGCACTGTTGCTTTTTGGAGGTCAGGTGATGCGAACCCCGTAGCAATAGAAACTACGAAACCCACAACGAGATTGATGTGGAACCCAAGATCGCCAATACTAACCCAGTTTTAGATCTTGAACCCCAAGAATTGAACTAAGAAACCCTAGATTAGCGAAGAACCTAAAACCCCTTGATTACAATTAAAAGGACCCACAATCCGATTGTTTAGAATGGCACAAGAAATTGAATATTGATAAGTTCCAAGATTGTTCAAGAAGAACAAGAAATTGAAAGAACAAATTCTCTCTCTATAATATTATTCAAGCCAAAGTCCTTACAATGAAAAATATTCTCCTATTTATACTAATGAGTAAAAAAGTCCAAAACCCATCAAATTATGGTAATAATTTGATTTTAAAAGAATTCTATCGAAACTAGGAAATTCGAAAAAAAATAAAAAAAACGAATTTTTTTTCATGTTTTTGTTCTATACGGCCGCATAGTGTTAATCTATGCGGTCACATAGATCAAGTCCCTGCCCCCAATATTATCCCTGAGGCCATCTATACGACCGTATAAGTTGTTTAACCATGCGGTCGCATGGAACAATCTTCGATTTCATTTTCTTCCGTCTTTATCATGTTGATCCAAGTCCTTTTGGCCCTCGACTCCAACATGAAGCTTGCTCCATTTTGCGCCCCAAACATTGTGTCTTCATTGACTTGCTTGATGAGCAATCCCATCACTTCTTTCAGTTGCTTCATCCTCGATCGCGTCATCGATCCACCTTCGACGATCAAAAGATCCTTCCCGTGACTTGACGCTTGAGTTGTCTTGGTTGTTAACGCACCTTGATTCATATCATCAGGTTTATGCCCCTCTCCTTCCCTGTACTCTTGATTTTTATGAAATAATTATGATTGGGGAACCCTTAACCCCCATCAACCTTCCTTTGTGGACCCCAAAAAGTCATTAAGGATGTGTGCATGTCCTTACTAAAAAAAACCCTAAACTCCGAACCCTTGAACCCTAAACCTTAAACCCAAAAAACCTAGAGGTCTAGGACCATCACCAATGATTCCAGAAGGGCCAAAAACCCTAGGGGTGGTAGAGATTTCGTCTGAATCGCCCGAAATTGACAGATCGAACCCCGAGGGGCTGAAATCTAATTTTTCAATTAAATATTCCACAGAGCTCAAACAAGGACACGTACCAAACCACCAGATTACCCATGTCAAGGTGAACCTTCTTCTGAAAAATGGCACAAATCCGACGTCGGACGCTCCACCACCGGCGTCCGGAAGTTCCAGCCAGTGTGTCAAAAAATTATAGATTCCGACCAAGCTAGAACTCTTTTCAAAAAACACTTTATATCGTGGTGATCAATATGAAATTCTACATCTCCCAGTAAAAAATCATAATTTTCTGACACCGTTGGAAAATCACCGCCGGAATCCGGCCGGTCAATGACCGACGCATGGTAGTCACACGCCGGTGAGACTTTACCGAAATTTGGAGAATTTTGTTACGGACTCGATTCCATCATTGGATTTTTCAAGGGAGGTCCCTACTGTAATTAATCAAGCTAGGAAGTCATATGCGGTTGCACTTTTCGGTAAATCTGTAGTCTCTCAAGCTGAGCGCAACCAGCAGAAGTCTTTTGCACAGGTTTTGCAAGCCCCACCGGACTCCAATGACCACGGGTTCACCTCTAAGGAACCTTTCATGCATATGGGAGAGCCGACAGTTGCCTTTATCGAGGAAGAAGATGACTTTCTTTCTGAACCGTAGAAATTTACTCTTGTTGGCAAATTCTCACATCACAAGCCCTCCATGACTAAGGTACGTGATAGCTTTCGAAAATTTAGTTTTTGTGGTGATTATATGATTGGACTTATTGATACAACTCATATTCTAATACACTTGGCACATGAGGCCTATTACTCACACATATTTCTTAAGCCCTCTTGGTACATCGATGGTTGTCTCATGCGCATTTTTAAGTGGATGCCCAGCTTTAATCCTAGGCATGAGACTCCTATTGTCCCTATTTGGGTTTCATTTCCATTATTGCCTATTCACTTTTGGGCAAAGAGTAGTTTGTTTGCCTAGCTAAGGCCATTGGATTCCCATTACGTATTGATGAGGCCACTTCAGATTTACGATGACCTAGTGAGGCACGGGTATGCATTGAGATTAATTTGGAGTATACACTTCCAGTTAGGATTCGAATTCAGCGCGAAAAGTGCGGAGGATATTGGCAAGCAGTTGTGTATGAGAAGAAGCCTGATTACTGTTTTCGGTGCAGACATTTTGGTCATACTGAGGAGCATTGCCACCCTACACCACCACCTGCTCCAGCTATTGACCCTATTCCTAAGCCTACTATAGAGATGGCCAAGGATAAGGGTAAAGGAAAGGAGGTCGTTATTGAGCCTCCTAAGAGATGGATTCCAGTTCAGAGAGATCATAAAAGACAGAACGATGCTAGCACATTTGGAGTTCAGATTCTACTTTCTATGTCCACTGTCATTACATCAGTCCCATTACTTACTGGCACTAGCTCACATGCTCAGACCCAGCCATCTGTTCCTTCAGTTGCTCCTCCCGTTTTATGATCCTATGTTGGATGAGATCTTAAAGAGGCCACAGACATAGAATTCTCCGTCAGACACAGTCAGCGGAGCTTCTTACATTCCAGGCCCGACACCGGGTAGGGCTCAGGCACCTACTCCCACTTCTTCTCCTTCTGTTTGTCATCAGAATGTGGAGGCATCTATTCCATCTTTGCAGTTAGCCCATTTAGATACAAAGGGCTCATCTCAGATTGAGGTTCACCTACAAGGACCCTTTTAAAGATCTTCTTCTGATGACTTGGTGGGTTTGGATGAGAGGACGGAGAATGATGGATTTATCCCAGTTGTTCGGAAGAGACACCCATGGGCTACTGATACTCCACATCTGAGCAGAAGGATCACTCGGAGTCAGTCATATGATACCTCCTCACATTCTCCTTCTCTATGAGTGCTATCATTTGGAATGTGAGAGGTGTAGCTAGTGTAGCTACTCGTCGGCACCTGAAGAAACTTATACAGCTTCATCAGGTTTATTTTTTGGTTATATTAGAGCCTTTTGTTCTTCAACACAGCTTTGCATATATTCGACACTGTCTGCGCTTTGATACTGGAGCTCAGAATGAATCGAATACGATCTGGATGTTGTGGAATTCGGGGACTATTGTTACTGTTATTGTTGATCACCCCCAGTTCCTTCACATTAAAGTTGAGGATCCTAGATTAGCACGTCCCATCTTTTTTACTCCAGTCTATGCTTCATGTGCTGCTGCTACTAGGAGGGACTTGTGGGTGGGTCTTCACCACATTTCCCTCGATATGGACGACCCTTGGATAGTTGGGGGAGACTTTAACGTTATTACACATGATGGTGAGTGTACTGGTCATAATACCCGTGATCGAGGCACTTCTGCTTTCTCTGATATGATGTTAGACTGTGGATTGGAGGATGTTGGTTTCCTTGGGAATTGATACACTTGGCCCAACGGTCAGGTCAGAAAGAGATTGGATAGGATACTCATTAATCCTACACCGGCAGCCTTCTATCGACAACTTACAGTGAGGCACTTGAATCGGACTTCATCTGATCACTCACCTTTATTACTTCAGTGGACTTCTGATGATGATTTGGGGCCTAGACCTTTCAGATTCCTCAACGTTTGGACCAAGCATCATGATTTTTCAGCATTTGTCTCTGAGAAGTGGTCACTCCCTACTCATCTTACGGGGATGGCTACTCTTTGGGAGAAGTTCTTCAAGCTGAAACAGGGACTGGGTCAGTGGAATCGACATGTATTCGGAGACATTTTCCAATGAGTGGGGGATGCTGAGGACAGGGTTGATGAGGCAGAGATTGTATTTGACAGAGACCCAACACCAAAACACCGTGACATACTGCATCAGGCTCAGGCAGTTTTAAATCAGACTTTATCTATTGAGGAGGGCTTTTGGAAGCAAAAGGCCGGTTCACGTTAGGTATGTGAGGGTGATCACAATACTCAATATTTTCATGCGATGGTTCAGGGGCACAGGATCAAATCTCGTATTAGGTCTATCAGGACACAGGCCGGGAAAGTTTTATCAACTCCAACTGATATTCAAACTTCAGCTATTGCATTCTACCAGGATCTCTTATCTACTCCTCCACAGCCCTTGGATCACATCCGTTCCGATGTCATTCCCAGGCTCTTGACGGTGGACGATAATTTGGCACTAAACCGTCCCCCTTGATGCTTGAGGTACGGGAGGCTGTTTTCAGTATTGATGATGACAGTGTCGCTGGCCCAGATGGTTTCTCATCTCTATTTTTCCAGCATTGTTGGGATATTATTTAGGAGGATGTTTACAGGGTAGTATTGGATTTCTCTAATGGGGTTCATCTTCCACAGGGTTTTGCTGCTATTTCTATTGTCCTACTCTCTAAAAAGGATGGTGCTTGTAGATGGACTGACTTCAGACCTATCAGCTTATGCATGGTGTTCAATAAGATTATTACAAAGCTTTTGAACACTCAGTTAAGTACTCTGCTATCGCGCATTATCTCCCCTCCACAGAGTGGTTTCATACCAGGTCATCTAATTAGAGATAATGTATTACTGACTCAAGAGCTTTTTTACACTTTGGATGATAGAATGCGAGGGGGTAATACTATGCTGAAATTAGACATGGCTAAAGCACATGATCGTATGGATTGGGGTTTCATTTATTCTATATTGGAGGCTTTTGGATTTGATCAGATCTAGATTGACAGGATTGGACGATGCATTTCGGAGTGTCGTTTCTCTGTACTTCTAAATGGCCGTCCATGTGGTTTCTTTACTTTCTCACAAGGACTCAGACAGGGTGATCCTATCTCCCCATCCTTATTCATCATAGTGGCAGACTACTTCTCATGCCTGCTCACCCATAGGTTTTAGGATTATCCCAGTATGTACTATCGACACAGAGTTAGTACTCTTGTTTCCCATCTCTCATTTGCTGATGATATGATCATTTTTGCCAACGGTCAGAAACAGTCTATTCGGAGGGTCCTAGACTGCTTGGAGAACTACAAAGGGGTTTTTAGCCAGTTGGTTAATAGAGACAAGAGTGGTCTTATACTATCCAGATGGGCATCCACTAGTCAGATCAGACGATTGGAGAACTTGACAGGGTTTAAACATCAGTAGCAGCCTTTTACTTACTTGGGAGTCCCACTATTCAAGGGGACTAAGAGGAGCTTCCTTTATAACGACCTTATCTAGAAGGTCAGGGGCAGGATCTCAGGTTGGGCTTCACGATTATTATCACCAGGGGGTCGTATTACCTTACTGAGGTCAATACTGTCCTCTATACCATTGCATCTTCTTCAAATTATGCAACCGCCTAAGACAGTACTGAAGGAGCTTGTGAGCATCTTTGCCCAATTTCTATTGGATTCTAAGGATCAAGTTCGACACCTACATCGGAGGAGTTGGAAGGACATTTGCCTTTCTATAGGTGAGGGGGGCCTCGGCTTCAGGAGATTACAAAATGTGGTGGACACCTTCTCCATTAAGCTCTGGTGGCTGTTTCGATCTCAGAGGTTTCTTTGGGCTCAGTTTTTACTCGACAAGTATTGTATGGGAACACATCCTTCACTTGCAGCAATTCCCAGTTCAGCTTTCCCTACCTGGAAGAGGTTGAAATTAGTTGGACCACAGACAATCCACACATTGCTTGGCATCTTGGAGCCAGCCCGATTTTCTTCTGGCGTGATTGTTGGATGGGCGAGACCACGTTGGCATCCCTATTCCCATACAGACAGCACGAGATAAGTGTGTTTTTACACACTTATTTAGGTCACAAACATGACTTAAAAATAAGCAAAATGATTGAATTATGACTTAATCTTGTACATTTGTGAATTGTAGGAAACAACGATGAACATGGTGAACTTCAGGAGAAAAGACGTGAAAAAGGACTAAAGTGACGCAAAGTAAAAATTCAGGGACCAACAGTGCAAATATCCAAAAGTTGATCCGATGAACAAATCGAGAAATCAATTAGGCCAATTACCAATTGACGATATCGTGGGGTGATGAAATGAAAAGAATGAAGAGAAGATGCTAAGAAGTGAACGATGCAAGTTGGAGGACCAAAATGCAATTTCTCCATAGTTGATAGTACTATGCGACCGCATAGTATTATCCTCTATGCGATCGCATGGTACCATACCGAAACAAAATATGGTTGAAAAAATTCTTCTATGCGACCGCATAAAATTGCTCTATGTGGTCGCATAGAACAAAAAATTTTTAAAAAATGGTTTCCTTTTTCTTCCGAAACTCTTATGGAAACAAGATTTTAGGGTCCTATAAATACAAAAACTAAATCAAAATGAAGGGGACGCCATTTTTACATGTTTTTGGAAGATTTTGAAGAAGAAACAAGGGAGAAAACAAGAGATAAACATCGCGTCAATTGAAGATCGGAGTGAATATTGATTCGGGTGATGTCATTTCTTCAAATACTTTTAAGTTTTGTTCTTTTTAGCATGTAGTCTAAATTTATTACTACTAGGAGATCGATGAACCTTGTAATACCACGTTTAATTGTTGTTTTGGATTTTTGACGTATGTAAACACCAATTCCGGAATTAATTGATTTATTTCGTTTTTATTTTCATATAATTATTGTGCACATGATTATATGAATGTGGTGACCTATTTTATGTATTCGAAAGAAGGAAAATAGGTTCGACATAGTATAAATCGTCATAGGGTCCGATAGAGGATATAAATATACCTCTATGCCTTGGAATATCGATTCATCTTTTGTGGAATTGTGTGTCAAATTTGCATAAATGATAATTGAATGGGTATTGATTGGGGATTCGTGATCCTAGTGTGTTAGAACATCCATTAATTCTATAAAATTTTAGTTAAATTGCATCCAATTTATTTTGAACTTTGCATAATTCTTCGTCCATAATTGCATCAAAGATTACATTTTGTTAGTTAGAGTACAAAAACGCAATTTTCTTGTTGTGTTTCGATTAAGGTCATATTAGATTAATTTGAACTAATTCAATTCTCGTGGGATCGATACTTGGACTTATAGTCCATTTTACTACTTGTTAATGAACCGTACACTTGCGGTGGATTTAAAATCGAAACAAATAATTTCGCGAACAAGTTTTTGGCGCCATTGCCGAGGATTGAAATTTAGTTTTAATTTTATCTTTTGTGACACTAATTCAAACTTATCTAGATTAGTAGTAGTTAGCTTACTAGGTTTAGTTTATTAATACTTAAATTTAATTTTGAATTGATTTTGCAATCTCAGGGCTTGTATGCAAGGAGCACCTGATCAAGATTTGGTTCCCATAGATCCACAGATCGAACGCACATTCTGTCATAGGGAAAGAGAAGCAAGAGCGGCACAACAAATGGCTAACGAACAAAATCGATCGGCAATTTCGCTCAACGAAGGCATGGCAGTTGAAGATGATGGGAATACAGTACTCGGGGATTTCATGGCTCCGTTGGTGGTCCAAAGTCAATCTAGCATTGAGTATCCTTCATTTGGGCAACCGAACTTCCAGCTGAAAACAAATGTGATTCAACTGTTTCAGAATGGGCATCAATACTACAGGATGGCTAGTGAAAACCCACATACACACATATCCCGATTTTTGGATATGTGCCAACACTTCAAGTACCAGGATATCTCGGACGATGCTATAAGACTGCGGTTGTTTCCACACACCTTGCGGGATAAGGCGCTTGAATGGCTGGATTCGCTTCCCGTCGCAAACATTACCACTTGGAACGTGCTAGCTCACAAATTCTGCACCAAGTTCTTCTCGCCAGCAAAGGTAGCAAAAATGTGGCATGATATCTCTATTTTCAACCAAGGTGAGTCCGAATCATTTGAAGAGGCATGGAATCATTTCAAGAATATGTTAAGGAAGTGCCCGCAACAAGGTTT